CTTTATCTTCCTGTGGCTTCCCTCTCAGGGGATTGCTCCAGAAGACTGGTGGGTTGCCTGCTTTGGTGTTTCAGAGGTTGGGCAGAGGTTCCTGCAAAAGCTTGGAATGCTGAATGTTGGCTGAGCTGCCTTAGGCCCCCAGGCACACAGGCAGGAATTCCCTGGTAAGAAGTTGGGCAGAGTATCCCCTGATGGAGATCGGCAGAGTTTTCCCCAGACTAGGGCCAGCTGAACAGGGTGGAGCTCACCTAGCTGGGTGTGGCGCAGGTGTAAATGCCCTAGTCTAAGGGGAGTGGTCTGGAGGTCAGCAGTGGAGTGGGAGAGAACAGGAAAGAGACAAAGAGGAGGGAAAAAATTAAAAAGTAAGCCCACGGAGACTGTGCAGGGATATATAGAAGAAAGAGAAACAAAAGTTACAATGTAGCTGAGTACTGATCCCTGCCCGTGGAGCTGCAAGGCTTTAGTCCCTGCCCCGAGGCAGGTGGTGGCAAACTGTGGCTGTGTTGAGAGTAAGCCCCCTTACGGGGCTCCAAATGTTCCTGGCTCTGACAGAGAAAGTGGTGGGGCTAAGGTCAAGCCCTAGCAGCCTCCACTGTGGTAAGCCAAAAGCCCCCAACCCCTCAAAACTTTGTGGGTCGGTGCCTACTTATCTTTATGATGCTACTTCTGCGTTCCAGCAGCATTGAATTTCCCTCTAAGCAACTCTCCTGGGCTGAATTCTGCGGATTCCCTCTGGTATGTGCTACTGCATCACCATCTTCCCGGAGTTTTCCCCTGCCCATGTATCTTAAAGGTTACATCTTTGGAAAACCTACCAACCAGTCTACTCAACAAACAGTCTTTCCAGAAGTCAGAATTTACTTAGAATCAACTTATAACAAAACTTACCATGAACTATTTTTAAACATTTCATACATCTATTGATATATTTTTAATAAAAATTTACTTTTTATGCTTAGCAAGTTAGCAGTGTATTTATGTTAGAATTAAATGGTGATTTATTATGTGTTGATTATATTTAAAATGGAAACTCATTTGTGAAGAAATTTTTAATAGCTATGTATATTCTCACTTTGTGAAAGAATGTAAAAAAAGAAATGAAAAGCAATCTTTGTTTATTAGTGGTTACCAGGCATGGGAAGGAGAGGAAAAAGAGAATGAAAAAAAAAAAAGAAAAATTTCATTATATCCTGGGTGAGGAGAAAGTAGTTTTTGAAAATAGTTTATGAATAGAAAATATAGAAATAATTTAAAAATCAGAAAAATTTTGAATATTTGTAACTTAAATTACAAACCATCACCACTTGTCAGCCAGGTTGTTGTACTGTGGTGGCTTCTGTGTTGCTGTGATGGTGGAAGCTATGTCACTGGGATTTCAAATGCCAGCAGGATCACCCAAAGTGAATAGGTTTCAGCAGAGCTGTAAGAGTAAGAATAGACAATGAAGAAGCACTTGGCTCCCTATATCAGAGGAAGGAGCCTCTTAAAACCTTATGCACAGCTTCGAAACATTGTCAGATAATGTAGGCCTAATGAATGAGGAATGTTGTCAGAGATAGTACTGGAGGATTGACCCCTTGGGTCTGAGGGCAATCAATATACTCAGGAGCAGCTGATTTCTTGAAGTGGCATCAACCAGGGTGATGTGAGTGGGGTAAAGTCTCTGGGAGTGGAGCCTTCTGGGTATTCATTTACTCATGGGGCAGGATTCAAGGTCAAGAGAAACACCTGCAAAATTGCTAATGATCAGAATTTGGATTTGCGAAGTATGAATCTAGGAGAATTGGAAGTGGTCAAAAAATGAAATGGAATGCATAAAGATCGATATCCTAGACATTAGTGAGCTAAAATGGACCAGTATTGACAATTTTCAGTAAGAAGATGTTATGGTTTACTATACCAAGAAAAGCACAATCAAGAGGAATGGGGTGTCACTCATCATGAAAAAGGACATTGCAAAATCACTCGTGAAACGAAGTTGGAAATCACATGATAGGATTTTGCAAAACCAACATGTTCATAGCAACTACCTTTTCAATAATACAAAAGATACATGGACTTCTCCAATTGGAATGCACGGAAGTCAAATTGACCACAACTGTGGGAAAACAAGATGGAGTAACTCAATATTAGAGTAGCTAAAGCAAATGGAAGAGGATGGAGTCAAATAGTTGAGTAGAATATTTCAAATGTCAGCTCAAGAAGACAAAACCAAATCTTATAATGAAATGTGAAAAAACTTGGAATTAGAAAACCAAAGGGGGAGGGCATAGGCAGCATATCTTAAACTGAAATAGCTGAAGAAAAAAACTCAAGCCTTGAGTTGAAATACTGAAAGATTCTGTGAGAAAACTAATCACTGATACAGAAATCATCAAAAGAAAAATGGAAAGAATACACAGAGTCCTGTACCAAAAAGAATTCGTCAACATTACACCATTTCAGAAAGTAGCATATGTGTAAGGATCAATGGCAGTGAAGGAAGAATTTCCAGCTGCACTGAAAGCATTGCTAAAAACACGGCTCCAGGAATTGATGGAATATCAATTGAAATGTTTCAATAAGCTGATGAAGCACTTGAAGCACTCACTTGTCTATCCCAGGAAATTTGGAAGACAGCTATATAGCTAACTGACTGGAATAGATTCATATTTGTATCCATTCCAAAGAAAATTGACTCAACAGAATGCTCAAATTATAGAACAATATCATTGTTATCACATGTAAGTAACATGCTGCTGAAGACCATGCAGCAGTGGTTGCAGCAGTACATTGACAAGGAGCTGCCAGAGGCTTAGGCTAGATTCAGAAGATGACATGGAACAATGGATAACATTGCTGATGTGGCATGGATCTTGGCTGAAGCAGAGAACACAAGTACGATCTTTACCTGTGTTTCATTGACTATGCCAAGGTATTCAACTGTGTGGATCATAATAAAAATATGAATATCTTTGAAAAGAACAGGAATTCCAGAACACTTCATCATGCTCATGCTGAACTTGTACATGGATTAAGGGGAACTTGTGAGAATGGAACAAAGACATACTGCATGACTGAAAATCCAAAAAGGTGCGAGATAGGCTTGTATCCTCTCACCATACTTATTCAAACATTATGCTGAGCAAATATTTAGAGAAGCTGGCTTATATGAAGAAAAACGTGGCATCAGGATTGGAAGAAGGTTCATTAACAATGGGCAATGTGCAGGTTCCATAACCTTGATTGTTGAATGTAAGGAGGACGTGAAGCATTTGTTGAAGAAGATAAGGATTGATTTCTTCAGTATGGAATACAACTCAATGTAAAGAAGATCAAAATCCTCATAACAGGGCCAATAGGGAGCATCATGATAGATGGAGAAAAGGTTGACATTTTCATGGTTCCATAATCAATGCTCATGGAAACAGCAATCAAGAGATCAAACGATACAGCATTTTAGGTGAATATGCTACAAATGATCTTTTTAGAGTATTAAAAAGCAAGAATGCTACTTTGAGGACCCAACCCAGCCTGACCCAACCTACGGTTATTTTCAATTGCTTCACACGCCTGTGAAAGTTGGACATCGAATAAAAAAGATCGAGATAGATTGCTGCATTTGAATTGTGGTGCTGGAGAAGAATATTATACATACCAAGGGCTGTTAGAAGGAAAACAGATGTGCCTGGGAAGAATTACGGCCAGGATGCTCCCTGGAGGCAAGTATGGCAAGACTTTACCTTAAATACCTCAGATGTCAGGAGAGACCAGTTTTGGGAGACGGACAGCTTGTTTGGTAGAGGGCAGCAAAGGAGAGGAAGGCTGCCAAGGAAATGTATTGACACCTGGGCTGCAACAATGGGCTCAAGCATAGGAACTATTAGGATGGAGCAGAACCAGGCAGTGTTTCCTTCTGTTGTGTGTGGACACCTCACAGTAACAACATATCACAGACAAAGGACTATTCTATACATAAATCTATATATAATATATATTTATTTCAAGAAATATATATATTTTGAGAAAACTTTCATAAAGCCACAAGCTACCTTATAACATGATGACCCTGGAAAACAGCATGCTGAGCGAAGTTAGTCAATCACAAAAGGACAAATATTGTATGAAACAATTACAACAAGGATAAAAATGAAGATAAAGGTATGCTTCTACTCCCACATTGTGTGGTTTTCTATTCTGATACCCCAAGCAATGAGGTGGTGTGCCTGCCTAGTTCCCATAAACCATATAACACACCCTTATTTGAATATCTGATAAAGCACCTTGAGAGAAGTGGCTTCACTCCAAATGGCATCAATTTTGAAATTTTGTAGAAAGGAGAAGATAAATCAATACTTGCCACAAAGCAGTGTGCTGGGGACATCCCAAATCAGCAGAAACTTATAAGAGTAACTAGTGAAGCTTACTGGGAACTCAGATGAAGAGCAGGTTATCACAGAAGGCAACGGCACTCCTGATAGTGTGTAAATTTTGTGGGGCACTTTGCCATTGATAAAAAATGTTTAACCTTACTTATATGGACCCCAATAAGCCTGGGCACTTTTGACCTAATTTTGACCTAGTTTCTAACCAGTATGTGGTAACCCAGGTATAGAAAACTAGGACATTAGACTATGTCCTTTTAAAGTGTGCAATTACTATTGTACACCACACTAGAAGGACATGATGAACATGAATTGGAAACCCTAGTAAATGAACTAGACTTTACCTTAAACCCACTTGTAGAAGAGCCAAGAAAGTGAAATTCTCCATTGAACTTAAAGTGGAAAGGCCCTATTTGTAGAAGCATCAGACAATTACTATCCTGAGGTTATGAATTTGGTGGTTGTGGGACTTTAGTTTGGTTTAAGTCTATTGCTTTGAGAGTGCCAAGTTGCATTTGAGATGCTAGGTCCAATATAGATGTATATAGATGACAAGTGAGTAGTTAGAGATAGGAGTCTGGTGTTTAGGAAAGGGTAAAATAATAGAATGAAAATAAGACTAACAAAACCAAGATATTGATTTAGCAAGCATTTTAAAAATATTTATTTATAGATATCTGAACCTTGTCACAGTAAGTGATTCTACTGGTAGAAAAATGGCTAAGGAAAAACATAACCCCATAAAGAAGAAAGGTTAATAGATATCATCTTTTTTTATTACATAATAGTTGAACTTCTTTGTAATCATACATTTCTATAAGTAAAATATTTGGATATATAAAGAAACATTTTAAGGCTTCATATTCTAGTTAATAACTATAATTCTCATTGTTTAAGACAGGCATATTTTGGAGATATTTTGAGTTTAGTTCCAGATGACCACAGTAAAGTGAACATTACAATAAAGCAAAAAAAAAATTCTTGTTTCCCTATACATATAAAAGTTATATTTATACTAGATTGTAATCTAGTCAGTGTGTAATAGCATTATGAAAATGTTTACTATATGAAGGAGCTTCAAAAATTTTGTAGAATAACTCCTATATTTTAATTCCATTTTCCACAAATTTTTGAAAGGTCCCCCCCTTTTTTTCAAGAATTACCCAACTCTGATGCAGAGACATGGAGTGAGCACATGCTTTGGAAAATTGGGCCGACTGAACTATTCTATGCATTATCATCACAATCTTCAATTTGTAAAAATAATACAGTATTTATGAAGCATGATAATTTGAGGTATGCCTGTACTTGCTTTTGTAAGTATAGAGATATATTATGTATTTCTCAAAGAATAGGGAAAAATAGACTCTAATTCATGGTTACATAGTTGGCTGGAAAAATGCCAGTTTGACCTCGAAGTCTTCCTTCCCACCAATCAAAGTGTGACTCGGTTTTTGAAATCACTGTGATCCTGTCTCCAGCTTGAAACCTCAGATCTCCTGGCTGCTGTCCTTCAAAAGAATATAGTGCTGTCACTTCTACAGGTCGTGGTGAGATTCCTAAAATGAGATCAGAAGTACTTAAATTACTACTCACATTTTTAAAAGTAAATATTGGGAGTGTGTATATATAAAATATATATCAATCATTTAGGGCATGGTATGCTAAGACAAAGGATATAGTAAATGACACAATATCACAATTCAAGGTTTACATTTTCTCAAATGATTAAGCTTACATTTTGCTCCTTTCAAAAGATCAAATGTTTGGCAATAACATTTCCAACATCTACACAAGTTAGAACAGCATAATATTTTATACACAAGATTTATTAAACAAATGTTTCTGGTTAAAATTATTTGAATTTTTAATAACCTACAAGATATTTACATATTTATTTATTTATTAAATATTTACATACTTCTCATGTAATAGCATAATGGCTTCCATAAAATACAGCTACTGAAGAAAAGCTGTTATTTATGTTCATGATTATATTATATGAAATTAAATTTTAACATCTTACTCGAGAGTATACAGTTTTAAGGATTTTAGTTAAGATGTTATTTTGCTGCTATTATAGTTAATATTTATAGTTTTCTCCCTGGTTTCAGAGCTGTATTTATTTGATCTTTTCCCTCAATATCTATATGCAATTCAAATGAGAACAATTTGAAGCATATTCACATATGCTAAAGAAAGTATTTTATCACATTATTGAATTAAAGGGACTGTATTGGAAAAAAATACTTCAAGAATTAAATGACTAATATGAGTAAAAGATAGTAAAGATATAAACTGTGGAACAGTATGGAAAATATAAAGCCAGAAACAGATACATTTAAGTTGCTATCTACAAAATGTTTAATATTTTATGTTTCATATTAATTTGTAAATGGATTAAGCAGCTGGATTATTATAGCCATCTATGTACAGAAATACAGAGGACATAATTAATAAAATTCTAGAAGCATTACTTATTTGAACATACAAAATTACAAATTGCAAAAGGATTTCCCTTGGACTTCCAGTGGGAATTAAAAATAGTAACAATTTAGTTAGAATTAAACGACTTTAACACAGACTGAATTTGTAGCTTACTCAAGATAGTGCTATAGTTTTCTGGAAAAGCATGCGATATCTAGTTTTAATTTTTTCTAAAGTAAATAATCTTAATAATTACTAATATAAGTAAATAAGGAATATTTATAGTATGATTAGTTTTCTCTATGGTAGAGAATCATTCATATTTGTATATATTTATATTATATTACTTTCAGCCTACCCATTTTAAGGAACAAAATTAAAAGAATATAACAAAAAGAAAAACTATTATATTGTATAGAAATAATCAATTCAAGTTAATTAATGACTAATACAGTAAAAAAGTTATAATTAAATGCTATGAAAATTAAATGGAACCAAACTAGTATCACATACATCCAAAAGAATATTCATACTATGCTTCACTGATATTACCTCATGTTACAGAAAATGTTACAGAAAAATAAACTTCTGATGATTATTCTCTTAGCAATAATGATGGTTATGAATTTATATACAAAGTTTAATTTTGATTAACCAAGACTTATCAATGAAGACCCAATTAACACAATTCTTCCCCTTTGTTACTGTCTCCTTAGGAAAAAAAAATAAAGGTTCTCTGTGAATACATAAGAATGTCCAGGAAATCATAGTTATTTCAGTTGCCATAGACTTACACAGCTATCTACAAAATTATAAATGAAAAAGAAAGATGAAAGGTAGAATTGGGGTCATGGTAGTTGGGGGGAGGAAGCGTTTAAGAACTAGAGGAAGGTTGTGAGTTTCATTACTGCTACACTGAACCCTGAGTGACTCATCTCCACCCCACTTACCCTCTGCAAGGGATGTCCAGTTGCCTACAGATGGGCACTGGGTCCCCATCACACGCTCCCTGACTGTTTTGAGAGGTTGCAAAGAAATAGGTTTGATAGAGTTTCTTGAAGAATACAAAATTACCACGGGAACTTATTATCAAGAAGCTTTAAGAAAAGGAAACCTGCTTGGAGGGGAAAAATGCCAGGAAATTGCCCTGGGAATTTTCTCCCCTCCCCCATCATGACAAGGCAGCTGTGCATCTTCTGAGGGTGTCAAGGGCTGTCTTCTACGAAAGTGTTGAGAAATCTTACCCGAACCATCCTACAGTCCTCATCTTGAGCCTGCGGACTCCTGTTTGCTCCCCAAACCAAAAGAACACTGGAAAGTTCCTGGCAGACACCGGGCGGCGCAGTGGTTACTTGGGCCGGTCAAGTCTATGGGCTCCCTGTGTACTCCATCTAGAGAAGGCCATGTGGATAGTTGACGCTTATATTGTTGGGAAAATTTTGCACATAAGAACTGATTCGTTTTGCAAAATTCTATTAATTGACCTCCAGCTTCTTCTATTTTATCACCAAGATCATATGTTCTAACTACTGTCCCCTCCTCTTTGTTTCTAAGTTTACATTACAAGCACCATTAATTATCAATGGGTTTTGATTGCAGGTTTAATTGATTTAAGACTGAAGAAGTTGGTAAAAATTCTTCAATTTCTTTATCATCAGCTTTAGTGTTCAGTTCATAAATTGTAATATATTAACTATCTTTTATATTAAAAGATATTATCCTATCAGCGATAGCACTGTACTTCAAGATTTATCTTGAAATGTTCTTTTTAACAATGAATGAAAGCCATTCCTCCTGAACTTGTCATTTTTGGCACAGTAAGCCATATGACCGCCTGATTCAAAATGGCCAATACCAGTCCATTTCAGTGCACTAATTCCTGGGTACTGAACTCCATTTCATTTTTGATGATTTCCTATTTTCCTAGATTCATATTTCATGCATTCAATGTTTCATTTATTAATGGATGGCTCAGCTGTGTCTTCTTATTTCCAGTCATGCCTCATTAGCACATGCAAGTCTTGAAGGACTCCATCCACATCATTCAGGATGACTCTGCTTTGAGGAGGCAGCACTTCTCTAGTTGTATTTTGAGTGTCTTCCAACCTGAGGAGTTTATCTTCTAAAACTATATCTGAAGTATTTATTCAGCTGTCATTCATAAGGTTTGCAGTGGCTAATTCCTGGGAAGCAGACAGTTTATTCCTTCATAATAGTCTTTCACTAAATCTATAAGTTCTGCTGAAACCTGTTCACTGTGGGTGATCCTGCTGGTACTGGAAATACAGATGACGGAGCCATTAGCATTATAGCAACATGCAAGCCACCCCAGTGTTAGGGTAATAATTTCTGTTAGAAGAATCAATAGCAGACTAATCCAAAGGAGTTGGGAAATAAAGGTGTCTCAAATATCTAACTCTTCCAATATGCTATTATGCTCCACCCCCTCTTCCTCCCTCATCCCTTGAGTGGGTTCCCTCACAAGCCGGGATCCCTGTTTACATAGTGGTGGTTGTTGTTCAGTCTCAGATCTGAAGGTAAGTCAGCAGAGGTGAGCCAAATACAGGGTCCAGAACCAGAAGCCAAAAATGCCCTTAAGTTACAGCAAGTCTTCTTACTTCTACCGAACCTCAGTCAGGAAATAGGAGTATGAATTTTGAGGTGATGAATGTTAGAACTGTATGGTGACACCAGGATAGTCCAAGGAAAACAAGAGATGGTGTCTTAAGTCACACCTTCTACTAAGGTAGGGTCAAAGATGCCCTCAAGGAAACAAAGAGTATTGCTTAGTTCACACCCTCTACTAAAGTCATGTCGTAAGCCCTCTCTAATCCTGTCTATTAGGAGCAATGGTGGTACAGTAGTTATGCATTGGGCTGAGATCCGCAGGGTTTGTAGTTCAAAATCAATAGCTGCAATGCAGGGAAAAGAAGAGACTTTCTACTCACAAAAACAGTTACAGTCTTGGAAACAATGTAACTGTTCCACTCTGTCCTATGGGGTGGCAATGAGTCACTATGGACTCGATGCAATGAGAGTATGTTAATCCTGTCCAGTAGTGTAGTGCAGAATGCCCTCCAAAAGGAGACTAGAGCCACAGGTGGACAGAGGCCAGAATTAGAGTACATGAAGAATTATGGATAGCAAGGCTGAATTAATTGTCTATAACTCAATTGTGCTAAACTGACAGATAAATGGTGATAGAGGAAAGGTTGGGAGATGGAAAAACTGCCTTCTAAAATGTATACATCTAGATAGAGGGTATATTGAGAAATAATTGCTACATATTTTGCTATGGTTTAATAAAGGTTTAAACCTTTTTTAAACATTTAGTTTAATATTTTTCTATTATTTGTAGCAATACTTTTTGACTTATCACTGTGTATATAATAGCAGCTACTCTTCACTCAAAAAGGCATTGCTAATAAGTACTTCTTATGTTCTATACTTATGTCACTTAGACTCTTTAAAATGAGGCAAACAGTTTTAGCTACAGAGAACTATTATTTTTATCCCCATCTTAAAGCATATGAAACTGACATTTAGAGATGCTGAGTAATTTATCCAAGGTCAGGGAACTGGTAAAAGTATCAGTGCTTTGAAACTAAGTTGTTTATCTCCAGGTACTTTCAATTGATATTTAATAATACTCAAGCAGCCTCAAGACCACACAAATATTAAATTGAGTCCAAGAGATTGAACTTAGATTTATCAGAGCAGTTTGTATTTGTTAGGCAATTTTTCAAGGAGAATTAATATATCATTTTGGATCACAGAGTTATTCAGACTATATAGGTAATTATGAATATGTGATGCTGATGATCTTTGGGAACCAAATTAATCCACACTGGTTTTATATATCCCTTATTAGAAGAACAAAGATATTATGAACTAAAGAAGAGAGAGACAGAAGATGTCATATAAGCCTCATTTGACATACTAATGCTTACCAAGGTATGTGATTTTTTAATTTCTTCTAAATTGTAGATTCCAAGTGAAATGTGGAAAAAAGCAACAATGGGGAACATTTGGGTATAAGGGCAACAAAGAGTAACTTGGTTATTGTGTTTCAGGAGGTCAACATATGGCATTCTTCCCCTGTCCTGATAGGGTATAATTACTTGAGGTTGAG